TTATTTTATTTTATTTTATTATTTTTTATGGCTTTTACAATTTTACAGTTAGGGGCCTAATACCTAATGCTATAGTAACTATCTTCACAGCACATACTCTAAAAAGCTTGTGTTAAACGTTATTTTCAAGATTTAACCGACATGGCTACATCTCTCAATGCACAATTAWTTTAGTTTAAATCCCAGGCATAAATTGGATGTGATATGTATTCCTTCAAGGAATGCTATAGCCCTTTTAATTATGAATACTTTTTTAATCAGCTTGTGTTTTTTTTTTTCAACAAATTGTCACCAAGTAAATATAAATTCTGAATTCACTGCCTATCATTCTTTTTAACTCAGCCTTGACAGAAGGTTTTAYGAGTTTTGTACCAATCGACCATCATTATCTTTTCCTTTCCAGTTTTTATTCACTTTTTGCTGTCTGCTCTTCATTTTGCTGTGTAACCATTATGCTAACATGTCTGTCCACTGGGAGATTTGTCTTCCCATAAATGATGAGTGTATTATAATTAATCACAATGGCTAGACAGGCATTATTAAGTTGATCCGTATTTATTTTTCGCCCTGGGGGGATGTAGCGTGGGCTATGGAGTCCCCTGGATAATGACTGCTGGAGGAGGGTATTATAGCTAATCATCATTGTGCAGAGCTAGGGGGATTTGATTTAGTACACCTACATTGTAAAAGCGAGAGCACTGATTGGGGAGGGGTGTAAGGATTATTTTGGAGCTGAGGGATATAAATATACCCCCTCAGGGAGGAATTCTTCTACCAAAGAGCTGTTAGCCATGTGTCTGTCTATGCTAAGGAGGTTCATCACAGGCCTCTTTGCACATAYTGTATAAGCAATATGGAACCATTTTGTGCAAGGGGAGACACTTTCAAACCTGTTGTGCCAAACATATTTCTTCTTAACCACATGTGCAAAAGGGTGGAAGAAGAGCAAGAGTAATGTGTGCTCATGAGTATTCATGAAGCTTGAAGCATCATGAACACAATATCCCCACTCCTAATAAYGATTCAGATCAAGGGATGTGTTTTTCAACTAAAAACATACGTTAAATAACAGTCTCCTGAGGCTCTTTAGTGCTATGGCAAAGCCTAATTGTAATGCATGTAAAAAAACATGGATCACAATGGTTTGATGTTTTAGAAGTTTTAAAGGGGACATGTGCAAAATCCATGTTTTTAACTGGTATATAAAATTAGTTGTGTACTTGGAGTCGTCTAGGAGTACAGCACCTTGAGTTGCTTTTAGTATGAAGGGTGCTTTATGAATAAATAAAAACTTAAACTTAAACTTAGGAGTGCAGAAACTAGAATTTAACCTCTCCTGGTGCTGCATGGGTATTTTTATATTCTGTTTGGGTTATATTTTTCAACTGTTCATTTTTCTTAAATTTCTATAATGATTTCTAAACTATTATGTCACAGAATTTGCAACAGAACTGACAAATACAGTATGGCCACAATTTTGTCATTTTCATTTTCCTCTTGCTCTGGCTCCAACATGTAAAGCTGGAGGACCTTTCCACTTTTGATCAATTTCAAAAAAAAAAAAAAAGTGCTGCTATATAGTCGTAAATCCCTCTATCAAAATAGAATTACCCACTCTGAAAGCTGGAGGGGGGGCGGGGTCTGAAGATCCTTGTTTGGATTTAAAGAGACAGCGTCAAAATGAGTTGCTTTGAGGTACACCTTAGAAAAGTGGTGAAAGTGGGGCTTGTGGAGTTGAGGCCTTTTTATACTCCCTCCAACCAGCTGGCATCACCTCAGATTGTTGCAGTTTCATGAGGAAAATTACATCACTGTGCTCTCAGCGTAGACTCTGCCCCTCCTTCTTGTCACACCCTGCCAGCAGAACTTTTTACCTCCYTCCGGCTRAGAAGTTTATGTGTGAWTGATCTGATGTTTGTGGGCAAATTTGTTTATACTGAAAGCGCTCGGAAGCTGCTCTTTGTTCCAACTACTCRCTTCCAGAATGTGACTGTTGTAGCCAGCAGCAGACRTTTATAAAGATTGTGTCAAACAGTCAGAAACTCATGCGTGGATATAAAAAAGATGTTTTGTATGGAGGAGTCCAGTGTGGAATTAACCGGGACGATTTGTGGACAAATAAAGGCAGATCTAATCAGGACAGATTTGTGAAAACAATAACAGCAGATAAGAGGTTTTGTTTTATTAATTATTTTGTTTTGTTTTGCGGGAAGGAACCCCGTGCCGTGATGCGTACCACAGTAGGTTTCCCAGGAGCTCAGCATGGTGTGTTTCAGGAACTATGAAAGGTGTGTGCGAAAACGATTGCCAAACAACCCCGTGACAGCACGTCGACTGTTSAGCGTCGGTTGGACTATGTGGAGGCCTTTACAATAAGGAGGAATTCAGACCAAAGCATTGCAGTTCAACTTTATATAGACCCCAATTGATGATTTAAATGTGAAAAAAATGTAAAAACAAATGCCTCCTTTAAAAAAAAAAATAATTTTAATGCACCAATATGTGTTACGTATCTTACCTTCAAAGGTCATGAAAGAACTTTTTTCGATTTTGGGAGTTTTTGTGAACAGAGAGACAGTTTTGAAATGGAATATAACAGCACATGAACTACATTCCACCGCAGGTCAAACTATCAGCACGTGAAACTGGGGTGACACCCAATCACTGCAACACCTCTTATTGCTTCTAAAAGAAGAAAACAGCCTAATAGACTGAGTAGAGAGGCCGATCAGCCTCTCGAGATGCTGTTTTTCATGTGGAGGCACAGACTTCTAAATAATGTACGACTCATCKCATGAGATTTGCAGCAGGCAAAAATATCAATATATCACATGGAAAATGTTTTCTGGGGCAGATGATGTATTTTTTAAGCAGAATTTTACAGACCAGGAGATGTATTATTTCGTTTTTACCAGCATACTAAAAAGTTACTTTTGAGACAAAACATTATTTTAATAAATTAAATGGTTATTAACTGCATAAACGGAAAACAACACTGTTTAGCGTCTGATTTTCTCACAGTGTAGTCTTTTAATAATTTTTCTTCCTTCGATGTTTCTATCAGAGCAAACTGAACCCGCTGAATGTGACCCCGCCTATCCGGGCCGTGGACATGGACAGAAACATACAGCCCCCATCGGACAGACCTGGAATTCTTTATTTCATCCTGGTTGGTACGTTCCTCACATATGTACCCTGTGTAATCTGTGTCATGCTCTTTAGTCCTCTTTGACCACTTAGTATGCCACAACTTGTGGTCTCTTGTGTTGATGTTGCAGTAAACTGCCAATTGTTCATTGCAGGTCAACCAGCCACATATCCAGAGTACTTCACCCTGAACAGAACCACTGCAGAGGTGCGTGTTCTGAAGCCAATTAGCAGGGACCTGTATCAGAGGTTTACCCTTATTATCAAGGTAACATTTAAAAACACATTTGAATTACTTTKTTGTTAAATGTTGCATTTTCTGAATCAGTAAATGAGTCTGACTGAACCCTAAATAATGAATGGTAAAGTAATATGATGCAATGGAGTAAATTAATGTTAAAGTGGGGGTATGGTGCAAAATCATCTTCTTTGAGCGCTATATTGTTATGTCATTCCCTCATCAAAAACATACCCAGAGTGTTGGTTTGACTCATTCATGCATGTTTGAGAAATCCTTGAATCTCCTGTGGTAGCCATGTGGAGCTGCCTAAACGCTTGCTGGTACAAAGCAACACCTATTTACTCAAAGCTCCTCCCTGGAGCTCAGTTTGCACCCGAGCTCCTCCCAGGAGTATGCAGCTGAGCTCCCCCCACTCACACACAGAGCACCCCTCCTCCGAAGCATTATTGTGCTGAAGTGGGAGTGTCAGAAATGGTAGAGTTTCTTTAAAATGCATAGGCTAATTCCAAGGGGTTTATTTACAGCATTTTCATAACAAATGAAAGTAACAATGTTACTTGATTATGGTATAGAATTGAACTGTGAAAATACATAATACACCCCCTTTAAGCAAATTATAAACAAACCTACACAGCTCATAAATTCCTAACATATAAAAAAAAATAATAGCAAATCAAACGTTACTGAGCCTAATGTTCTTCTCATTGGCCAAGCCTAAGGTCAAAAACTAGTTGTAAAAAGAGTAAACTTTTATCTGGATATCTTCAATACTCATCCTTACCTGCCCTACTTAGATAACCTCAATCCCAAAGGTCATTAACCTTATCTTTGCCAGCTTAGGAAACATGGATGAGAAAGATGTTATGATTTATTGACTTAACAGGAGGATAGGCAGCTGTGCTCTCATGAATCATAATTTTTGAGCAGCTCTTTCAGGGATCTGGTGCAGAGCGGCAGACAGTGCAGATGAACTTTCTAGCTACACATCACTAACCTCCAGAAACCTCTGAGCACTTTCAGAACCTGCAATTTACCTGGCTAACTGGTGTGCAAAGAGATGGGAGAAGGGCTTTACTTCCACTAGAATGAAGACAGGTTCATCATTGTTGAAGCATTTGCATGTTTCTGTGTGGACTGCGCATGGCTAGAGGAAAATAAACTGTTCAAAGAGGAAAACCAGGAGAGATGGACAGGGGAGGGGGTGTGTGGAGAATGCTTTGAGCCTTATCTGTCTTAGTCATTCAGAGGAGATGGAGCTGTTGCTCTAGGACTCCAAAGAGCAGGATCGTGGGGATCATGATTGCACCGTTACATCTCATTTTGGTGTATTCGGAGTACACACCTAATGCTGCAGGTAAACAAATGGTGAAATGTCCTGCAGACTCTTGCCAAAAACACATCTGTTATGTGTTAATAGTCATCACTGATCTTGATAGAGGCACATTCACCAAGATGACTTTGAGGAAATGAAGACAAGTGGCAAAAGACATGTAGAGATGGGGAAAATTAGAAGGAAAAGAAAATGAGGCRGAGAACGAGGGAAAGGAGGTGCAGTATGACACTTAAACAATGATGGAATCAGGTCTGGAGAAGCGGGATTGATTGATGAGCAGATACTTGGTTAGCGGGGAGATTTAATGTTGGCTTGTGTGTTGTAGCTGCGGAGAGCAGGTCATTGCCTCTTTGAATCAGAGACACCACTAAAAACGCTAAATCACCAGGGAACAATGTAATCCTACGCCCTGTCTTGTCTCATGCAGAAAGAAATTTATATGTGTAGGGTGCACATCATGCCCATCAATGAGACCACTTTTCCCATAGGTTTTTATAGGAACAGATTGGATCTGTGAGTTGACACAGTGTGGGTTTTCTTATCTCCGGTAGGGGAGATAGGTTGGACTCTTTTTAGATGGGTTGTCTGAAACAACATTGTGATAGACGTAATAACAGGTGTGAAGAATTGGATGTGCCAAAGGCACTGTGCCATAATCCCTAATGTTGGGTTTTTCACAAACAATGGTGGAAAAAGAATGGTCTATATGTTTTCCTATTTCTCTCCACAAGTCTATTGTGATGGTACAATCCACATGCGGTAACACAAAGCCAGTGAAATCAAGCTAATGTGCAGAATTAGTTCCAGATCATAGCTTAAACTGATATTGCATCACTCCCCCTCTCTCAATCTGGATTTTCAAAGCCCTAATGTTTTTGAAGCATCCCCGTGTGGGAGGCAATGGTGACATACGTGCTTTAGAGGAGGGAGATTGCAGCGACAGCCTGACTAGATCACATTCATTTGATTTGGTGGTAGTGTCAGGTATGATTACAAGCTCATTCACAACCTATTAAACTTTTTTGTACAACTTCACAGCTGAGTTAGCGCCTTTTTTGGATTTGTGCTAATTTGATATGTTACCGAATCGGCCACATTAGGCACCAGCTGTGCAGGGAAAARCAGAGAACCAATGTTTGGAACCGTGTGATTGTTGCAGATGAATACAGTTTAGTGAGTGTTTTCACCGCTCAGTAAATCTAATTTTGGGATTTTATTTTATTTTATTTTATCTTTGCTTTCACTGCKCATCATTCCAGGAACTAGATTATTGAAAGTGTATGGTTTGGGAGAAAACAAGATTTAAACACTCCCATCCAAAACATCATCTTGAACATGAGTCCTGAAATCCTCTGTTTTTCATTTGTTTCAATAGTCTCTGACATGAATTTATTTTTGTCTTTTTTTTTCCTCCACTGTGTTTGAGGTGGACTGTCAAAGTGTTCTGCTGCAATCTAAAGCAAGTGCAATCTCAAAATTATACTTTCTGAACCAGGTGGTTGTGTTTGTGCCAGCATGTAATCTGAGTATTTATTAGTTTTTTTTTTTTTTTTTGCTTTGTAAAATGATGCTAGAACTGATATTGCAGGAAAAAAAACTTTGTAGATAAATGCAAGTAACACTAAATATTGACTTTGCATTTGTCTGTCATCAGGTCTTCTCATTATTAAAGGAGATGGAAATGCCTTGCCTCATGAGACTTGCTCAATAATACCTAAAAGAAAAAAAMAAACAAACAAACAAACATACGATTTGTTTTAGTATTACTTAGTGTTTTTATTGTTATCATGATTTTGCACAGAACAAACTTTCTCAAACAGAACATGGCAACCTTTGACGTTTTCCTTTTTTCTCTATTCAGTGGTTTTTCTGGGCACATAAAAGCCTTGGAAATTTACAAATCTCAAAGGTCACACAAAAGAAAGTTGTTCTCCAAAGAAGATCTAGCTCCCAAGCTGCCTGAAACGCCTTGTTGGTAGTGCTAGCTTTCTTTCTTTCTTTTTTTTTTTTGACTTGTCACCATCAGTGTGAAACACATTTTGCAAACTGTGTACCCAGTGCCATGTTTTGGCACCTCCTAAATAAGATGAAGCAAAGCAGCTTTCTTGCATTCTGCTGTTTGGCCAGTTTGCCTTGACCGGTCAGAGCTGACTGCCCTTGTGCAAAGAAATGTCTGTGCTGTTCTATACATAAAACATTTGTCCTGTTCTAACATATTTAAAATAATGCTACAAGCTTAAAATTGAGCATAATATAAACTATTGTTTACAAAGTTATGATTTTCTTCATTGGATAATGAGTAAGAAAATATCAATACACTGAAATAATACAATATTTCATCATCTTAAACTGTAATGATTTTCAAAAGCAATGTTTAATTTTTAATACTTGCTTAATTAATGAATGTTGTTAGAAGAAATGGGAAGTACAAATGCAGTTCTCAGTATGGTTCAGTGTTTATTTTGCAGGCGAGCAGACGTACAAGGCAATCTCTTACATTTTGTTTTTCACATCTAAAATAAAACAAAAACTCAATTTCAAATTTATTTYACGCCTTATAGCTTGCAGGACGTAAATAAATAAGAAATAAAGTTAAATAACCTAATTCCATCCCGCTCTACCACTCCTTCCCTGCTCCTATGAGCTGCAGGCACTGTTATMTCCGCCTCCTGTTTGACCTGTTCCCATGGCCGACAGTCTGCTTTCAACCCCCCACCCCACCCACCTGTGAGCAATGTGTTCTTTTAGAAGGGAAATGATGGATTTTTGAGGGTCAGGATACAGCTAAACGTCTGTGTTGACATGTATGCAATTTACCGTATTGTGACCCTGTGTCGTGATATATATCATACAGTATCACCAAATTATTGCCAATACACAGTCCTAGTTAATAATACAAAAAAAAAAAACTGTACTACCCTCAATTTATTTTTGCTCACATGTTTACAAACTAGATTTCAATAAATTGTTTTCCAGGTAAGCAAATATGGATTATGTGTTTGAGGAGATATGTAATCAGTGTGCCAAAAAAATAAGTGAAGATTTCATTTTATCAGATTTTACAGTGATTATTGATAAAGTTTCAGGCAAAATGAAAAAAATGAAACAAAAGAGAAATAAAAAAAGAAACTCCTAAAACTGAATTTTTACACCCACAAAACGACACTTTGAGAGAATAATAATAGACTTAGGGTAGTTAGGTGGTTAATTCTGGCTTTTACTCTGCTAGTAATATCCCTTGCGAGCCTCCTATCAGTGGTCACTCATTTGACAGAGTAGGAGAGCCACTAATTATGGTTTCACTGCTGCAAATGATGGTATTTGCGTTGAGTGCCCTGGTAATTACTAAATCCTAATTTGAAGTGGAGCGCTTATTAAATTTAGTCAAACTCGATCTTTCTTTGTAATTAAAATGACATTTTGAGATATTTTGTCCCTTTTTTTTACCCCCTGTACCTACATCCAATACGATCTGATAATTTCCAACCCTTTTTTGTTTTCTTTCTCCAGGCTGAACAGGATAATGGTCACCCCCTCCCAGCGTTTGCTGACCTCATTATCGAAATCCTGGATGAAAACAACCAGGCACCGTATTTTCAGTTTGCCACCTATCAGGGCTACGTGAGTGAGGCCTCCCCAGTGGGTACAACTATCTCTACCAGTGCCAACCTCACCTCCCCACTGGAAATCATCGCGTTAGATAATGACATTGAAGAGGTAAAAAATAAATAAATAAAATGTTGGGGGAAAAAACCTTAATAACAATATATTCATATGTGTATGTAAACACAATTTGCTTACTTTGAGTTTCTAAAAATGTTCATTTAACAAATTTTCTTTGCTTATGTGTTTGTGTTGTGTTTTACAGAAAACATCATGTTTCTTAGTCATTCACAATTTATTTATTTGTTTGCTTRTTTATATTTATCCATTTATGCATTGTCTTTTTCCGTGTTGTAGCTGGCTCCTGGTGCTAAGCCTGTAGGTAAAAGGGGAGCTTTCGAATGAAGTGACGCATGGAGAGAGTGGAATTAAAGGATGTCCTGACTCAATTTTGTTGACTTTAACCTCAGACTTTATTTGATCTTCTTTAATATGTAGTGTCAATAATTTCACACCATAAATACAACTAAATTGTGCAGACTTAGTAACGCAATGTATGTCCTGAAATARAATTATTTAAACATTTCATTCAGGGGTATCAAACTCTTTTTCACACAGGGCCACATGAGCATCATGGTGGCCCTCAAAGAGCCAGTTATAATTAACTTTAACATTTTRTTTTTAACTTCCTCATCTCATTTCTAAGGCTGAGCACTGCCAACAAACAATAATTTAGCTCTGTGTGGTATTTTCTGCATAGAAACAGAGTTATAGCATGTTACCTTATAAATATTGAACAGTATTACGTGTACGACTGACTAAATRTGAAATAAATGTTTAATTTTGTTGCTTTGAATCTTAAATTCAAAGTTTACCATTGACGTAAAAACTATTTTCATATAAAATTAAGTAGAAAAAAATAATAAAGTAATAAAAATAAACCTTTTTGGTGATCCCTTTTAGCTGGCCGGACAGAAGTCACCCACTGGCTAAATGTGGCCCACTTTGAGTTTGACACGTAATTTAGTGGCTTTAATAGCTCCGTACTAAGTCTGCATTTTGACACTTGACACTCTTGTCTGACACATTATTTTGTAAACAACTGTTACATTTTTGTATTCATGCTTAGGGTTTCTAAGTCCATGTTTWTGTGCATGTTTCCAGTATTTTGCACATTTTGTAAGGGGTAGTTTTCGCACCTGAAGTGCAGGTTACACTTGGGAAAGGATCAGAAACAGATAGGCTTCATACATCAAACACTGATCTATTAAAAAAATTGATCTGTTTCATCCCCTCCAGCAAGTTGACTTGGGACATCCCTGCTGTTAACGCATGCATCACACTGCGGAAAGTACAAACGAACTGAAGGCATTCATCACTGCAGGAGATCTTTTTAAMACAGAAAAAAAATTAAGAATTCCATAAACAAAACTGGATCAAATATTAAGCAGGTCTCCTGTTGTGATGCATGTGTGCATAGATYCCTTTCTGATGCACTGACGTTTGCAAAGTGTGCATTCTAATAATAAATTCTAGTGTGTGTGTGAGAGAGAATGAAGTGTTTCTCATTTTTTGTTTTTTTTTTTCATCTGATTGATGTTTCCATATTTGTTAAAGTCAAAATGTATGCAGTTATTCTTTTTGAAAAGCTTTGTYTTTCACCAGCTTGATTTTGTAAATTATTTCTTGTGTTTAAAATTGCTGAAATAGATCCTTGACTTATTTGTTTTTCCCCACAGAGTTCACAAGCTTCCTTGTTATGTGTATGTGTGTGTGATTTTATCCACCGCTCCCAAGAACAGTTTTAAATCCATACACCAGTATGATGAATGAACCCACGCCRTCTCACACACAGCCAAAACAAATGATCACTGCCTTTAGTCCATCCTTCAAAATATCCCTTTACTCAGTCTTTTGAGAAGATTAACAAATGAAAGTAGAGACAGAGATAACAAAATCAATAAGCCACCCAACCCTGATGTTTACCAAACTCTCTCAGGAACAGTCATTGATGGATGGGTATCAAAGCTGACCAGCAACAACAGACTGTATTTGACATAAAATGTATTTGTTAAAATATAAGTAATAGTTTTGGTAAATTGAAGTATCTAAAGTGATTTGAMGTACAGAGTAACTGTACAGACTGTTTTTATTTTTGTAAGACTGTGTCTTTGATTCTAATAAAAAAAACTAGGTTCTCAGCTGTGTTTTGACAACATCTAATTAAAAATATATGGCCTAAATCATGAAATTCTACTGGAAAAAAAGAAAAAAAAACAGTTTTTTAGTCCTATCCTGTGTTTATTCTGCAATGTTTTCTGAAAGCAGCTGCCAACCCCACAAGAAGATTACTTTTTTCAAATGGTCGGCACATCAAAATGCKCTTTTTGATAGCTTTTCTTGGCCCCACAGCTGTGGCCTTGGGGGTGGAGAAAGTGATGAGACTCCAATGTGGCCATGGTTTCATGTTTCTTTTTGGTTTCTTCCCTTTAAAAGACGAAAGACCCTTTGGTGACGATTACCCTGAATGACTACAACCTGATCTTCAGCCTGACCCCAACTGGGATAATCCGCTACCTGAAGCTCCTCAAGCCTGTGGATCGAGAGACGCAGGTGGCCTATACTTTCACGGTGAGTCTTCAACTTAGCGGTGGTGTCCTGAAAACTGCCCTTTAGTCRTGTGGCCAACATCTTTCATTTTCTGTGCCTTAGCAGAAGTCTTTAAGCAGCCGTACTTGTCCAAGTGAGCAAAACTTACACAAGACAACTCCATAATTTGTGTGAGGCTTCTTATTTTAGTCCTAAATTAGATTTTAAATGTAAAGCATTACTATTTTCAGTGTTGTGCTCAGTATTATTTATTATTTTTCAAGAAACATTTATATAGTTGAACTAGTTTTTGCCTCTTTTGACTGTTAAAATAAGTACAGGTTTAAATGAATGTCCTTGTTTTCCTTTTCAATCATTTCATGTCATTCATGCATTCTCTAGTCTATAAAGGTAACATGTGTGATTAAAAAAAATCATGCAAATGTAGGAGAATCAAATCATAAATGCTGTAAGTTGCCCATAGCAACCTAAAACACTCCATGTAACCTTAGCATCAATTTGCCTCTCCTGTTCTGTACTGTTGACCTTGGTTTAAATGCAGAACAACCRTGACAAGATCTTTCAGTCTTGACAAAAGCCCCAGGAGTTTTAGATTCTGGATGCTGGTACCTTATACTTTATGGGCCAATAAGTGGGAGACTGCTGTCAGAAGCTACACTATAAGTTTAGYTGAAGACAAGAGCAGAGCGGAAAATCCACCTAGCCTGTGTAAAAGTGTAAGAAAACTGTACATCTTTTGCTCAGTAAGAGTATTTCTTTGTTTATAGCAGTGGTTCCTGACCTTTTTTTTAGACTTTAGCCATTTTGTCATACCACTACTACCCACTCAGTCAAACTTAATAATGATTCTCCAAAACTATAATGTAGAACAACTGATTATTAAATGAAAATTATTTATTTAACTCCCTATAATGTTTATTTCTCAGGCATTTTATTCTTTTCAACTCAAATTAAACAAAGATAAATATGCTGCCTTGAAAGTGAATAAGTAAGTTAAATAAATAAACCAGGTAATGGCAGGTGCAGGAAGCAGCAGTGTCGAAAATACATAAGAAACTCGCCCAAATGAGCATATTCTGTAAGATTCTGCGTTTYATACTGGATTCCATTTTGTGTCAATTTTGTGATTCCGTTTGCATTTTCTGCATTGCGGAAATCATAGGGCCTTATGTATCCCAGTCCTATTTTTATTTTTTATTTTTTTTACACACCTGGGACATTTTTCCACGTACCCCCTGTAATATACTCGCATACCCCAAGGTGTACACATATCCCTGGTTGGGAATCACTGGTTTATAGTACTGAAGAAACTATTATATAGGGTAATGCAATATAAAAACTGTTAAAGTGTAAAACAACACTACTCTGAAACCAAACAACTCAATGTTCATTAAATGAAAAGGTGTCAAACTACTTGATGTCTGACTAACTGTGAAAAGGCTAATTCATGCACATCTTAAACCAAAAAAGAAAAAAAAAGGTTTTACGAAATGTATGATATTCTAACATAAACCATRTATTAAACTGAAGCATTAAAGTGACTGTGACATGCACATCCTTCAAATACAAAGTCAAATATAACATCTTTATTTAAGAAATTTAGCATAAAACACTTGTTTTTACCCATTTTGATACATAACTAGCATATTTTCTTTTGAACTTGGCTTAGCTAAAATAAAACAGTAAGTGACATCAAATGGGAACTATTTAAAGGCAGAAGACTCCCTGGCCTTTGTTTCTTGAAATTAAATTATTTAAACTCTGACGCTTCTTCATCTCAGATAGCAGTTCAAAATAATCTAAAGAAACATCAATATCTTCATTTATCTTTTTGTTGTTAGTCATTGTAGCACTGCTTTGTTTACATACAGACATTCTTTTTTGTCAGCACTTCCAGTTACTTCACAAGCAAATACAGTTTCCCAACAACTACTCATCTCAGCTGCATAATTCATATTCATGTATTTATTTATTTGAAGTATAGTACTGTTGTCTTTCAAAAAATGCTTTCTTATTCATTGCCAAAAAAAAAATAAAAAATGAAAAATGATGTCACAGGCACATTAAGATTTACCAATTTTAAAATGTCAGTTGTCCCCACAGATGATAAACTGCAGCTAGGTTTACCAAATATAGCTGATTTTGTGCTGCTCAGGGGAATGGAAGCCTCTCYGAAAAAAATACAGGGGCTCAATCCATAAAGGAAAATTCTCTTGGATTAGTGAGTACATATTGTGCACTCATCRGGAACTGCAGGGGCTTTCGAACAGAGATGACTCAGTTCGCCAAAGGTTTTGATGTAATATGAGGTTTGATTGGCTTGATCAAAGTGCTTTGGACTTCATCCATTTGTGAAAGTACACTGTGTTTGTGTTGTGTGTGTGTGCACACACAGTTGACCCTTTTTCACTCTGTGTACACAGGTTTGTTAGCCAATAAAGTTTTCTCTGTGGTTTGATGTTTTTTGAAGCTTAAGCACTAGTAAGTGCTGTGAGCTCAGACAGCTTTTAAGCTCAAGATCCTTTTTGACAACACTTTACTGTGGAGGCTGTCACTGTGGGGTGACTGTTCACCACAGCATAGCACTTATTACAGTTTAGGAGGATTGCTTCGTTCGGGATTAGTTGTAAAGGAAGAACCAGTAACTTTGTCCCAGGTATCTGTTTTAACTGTTGTGATTTCTGAATTACACCAACATAAAAACAATTCTTTCTCTGAAGTGACTACCTTACAAAGTGTTAGTTCTCTTCAGAGACCTGCTGCTCATTTAATGTTTTTAAATTTGGTTCATAAATTGGATGATTAATATTTACCTCAGTGTATTTAAGAACAGTCGCAGACCTTATTTATTTGGTGCAGCCCTCCTTACACAGACTATTAGATAAATATAGGTTCTTCTACAATAATAATACATGTGTGAGTTAGAAACAAATTCCTTATTAATGCTAGCAGTTTTTTTTTTACATAATGTATTAAGACAAAAAGTGATACAGTGTTTTTGTTGTTGTTGTTGTTTGACTAAACTAACCAGCTGTCTGTATGGTTATGTTTTAGCAGGATGTTTCAGTTCCACAACCACTATGCATTTGGCAGAACCACTATGCTTCTATTTTAATCTATCCAGCTGTCTGCTCAGGCTCTGTAACAGATTGTGTTTCGTTTGAGCTTTGCGCAACTGAGCRTAGCATTAAGTCTATTGATCTGGTTGTATTATTGTTTTACAATAGTGCGGCTCAAAGCCATATAGTGACCGACACGGCAGAAACACGGAAATCAATTTGAGTCAGAAAAACTTTGTGAGAAAAGTGACTCAGCACCTTTTTTTTAAATCATTACAACCTGCCGTTGTTTCAAAATCTTGAGTACAGTTAGCTCAATACACGAATGAAAGAATGTTCTTCAGCTAAGAAAAAAGCAAACTTTTCCTCACAGAGAAAACAAAACCTTTAATCGTTTATCATATCAGACATTTGAAGTAAAAGCTATATGAGGTTTTGCTTCCAGGCTTGTTAACATAWTGTTTACTAAATAGAGGCGTTGAAGGATGTAGGGTTGGTTGCTTTGATGAAGATAATGGTTTTATTTTATTTTATAATTATGTTTTTTTTTATTTCAAAGGACTATAAAAAATATTCGCATGAATACAGTCATCAAATTAAAAATCTAATTATTCTAAGTGCCCTAGACTTGAAGGCGAGGGAGTAAACATCCAATTCTGATAGAAAAAAATAAATAAAAAACAGGCTTCAATGAGTAATGTACTCATCTTGTGTTTGCAATTTTTATACTTTATGGTCTTGATCAAATTAGAGGAATAAGTAGTGGTACATGCCTTAGTACTAGAACAGAGATTGTGCTAGATATTTTTGCTGTCCGTCATTTTGACAGACAGGGTCAAAAAAATCCTGTCAATCTATTTTCCACATCACCACATATTTTTAAATGCCAATAAAGTTCAGCATCATTCATTTTCATTCATCTTAATCAATTTTCAGTCCGAACAAGTTTAAAAGATAATTCACAACATGTAATTTCTTCTTTACAGTAACAAAAACACCGACTGTGGTTCCAATACACACATATAAACAGTAAAATGAAGTGATTGCACTTAAAATATGGACAGTTCACCTAACCTCCTTGCTGCCACTCGCTCGCTCCACAGTAGAGGGCTGATTACTTGTTTTTTTCATCTTCCACTGCATCAGTCCCTCCTTTTTTCACCTGTTTTATCAAAACCATTGTCGCTATATGGCTTTTTGAAGATGCGTCGGAGGTGCAGTTGCTGTGACTTTTTCAGAGTGAAGGTAAAGTCATGCATCAAATGAGCTATCAAACCAACAGAACACAATGTGTTCAGGTGGCCAGATCCACTTCTTGTTTTTGGAATGTTGTCAAAGGGGTGCCACAAGGTTCTGTTTCTGGTCCAATTTTATTCTCAGTTTATACCAAAGATTTGCAAAAAATCTGTCAAATGCTTCCTACCTTTTTATGCAGACAATACCCTAATTTATTCCTGCATAAGCCTATGGTTCAAGCATTATCTGTTATTTTATTTTATTACTTGTATTTTCACTAAATCATAGGGTTTTGGTCACACTTGCTTAAATCCTTGAAATCATCTACTGTTTAAGGGTGTATTCACACCTAACACATTTGGTCCACTTTAAACAGACCAGAGTTTGTTTCCCCCATTGGTCCAGACTTTTTGTGCAGGTGTGAATACGCTTGTGCAAACTCTGGTGCRGATCAAACAACTGGACAGAGGCCTGCTTTTTGAGGTGGTCTTGTCCACTTYCAAATGAACTCTGGTGCAGTTTGCTTCTGGTGTGAATACAGACCGGACTCGAACCAAACCAACTAAGTAAAACATGCACCTCTTTGGACTTCACGGGCCACCATTGCTAAGCTAAATAAACTAAAATCATTCCTGACTCGTYGTCTCCTTCTTAGCAGCTGTGCACACAGGGCACTTTGTCTCCTTTGGGTTGTGGCACACGTTTACTGACGCTGCTCCAAAATTAGAATATCATTGCAAAACCACCAYTGAATTAGCTGCTTTTGATATTTTAAATGGTATTGCAGTTGTACTATAAGCACAAATGTGCACATCAGAACCTGGTCAGAACCGCAGCATGCAGGACTTCCATGTTTTTTTTTTCCTGGGTTGGTGCGCTCTGTCCTGCCCCTGTCCTTTCTGTCCAGTGGAAGCAATGACCATCACCCTTGTGGCTTTGTTTACAAGTTATAGTTTGCTTGTAAAAAAGCACAATGTAAATGCAAACCCCACCAAACAAAAATAATAAAGTCCACTTTTGTTCTGGACCAAACAAGTGGAGCAAAGGACTTTTCATGCTGTGAATACAACCTAAATTTGTTTAACACTGTTGCATTTTTAAATGTAAACTGCTTTTGATTATTATTTTATTATTAGTGCTTCTGACSTCTTGGCCAGGTCACCCTTGGAAAATAGATCTTAATCTCAATGGGTTTTATCTGGTTTAATAAAAGTGTGAGTGAGGAAAAGGCTAATTCTTATGCTAACTCGCTACCAAGTTGTCAGGGTGTGAATTGCAATATGTCAAAATGGCGGATGGCCTTCAGATTTTTCCGTCACCATTTWAAAAAAAAAGTTAAATATCCTGTACTACAGACACATCTCACACGAGGGCATTTTCCATGCAGTACAATTAGTTTCCCTGAATACGTTGAGGGAAGGGTGGGTTCTCCCACCAGCAGGAATCAGAATCRGCCTTATTGTCATTCACACACAACATCAAAGCTGCAATGCAGAACATCCGTTCGGAGTAAGACACACATAAYAAACATGGGRGAATTATTTTTTTAGATTTAGATTTTATTAATCTTTATCGTTCCGCAGAGGGGAAATTGAGTCACTTCATTTAACCCATTGCACATGTGAACACATGTGGAGCAGTGGGCTGCTAGTTACGGTGCCGGGGGACCAGCTGGGGGTGGGGGTGGTTGAGGGCCTTGCTCAGGGGCCCAGGGTGGGACTGATTGGTTTGGGGAGTTGAACCGGTGACCTTCCGATCACAGACATGGCTTCTCTACCCTCTGCGCCACCACCTCCCATATCCAAGGTCTTTCGCACTACGGTGCGCTACCTTTTTGCAGCTTGGACTATACACAATAGGAAAGATGAGTTCAAAAAAGATGCTCTGATCCTATGTATACACAGACAGAAACACAGAATTATACGCTCAAAAAACCACTCGCAAGTGCAAGGCAGTTAAGGAAGGGAGGGGGCTGGGGATCAAACACATAGAACGGGGTAGGATGCAGAAGAGCTGGTGACGTTTAAGGTTAATACTCCRTGCTGGAACCAATCAAAGACCTCCAAAGTCYAAAACAAGTTGTCATCAACCAAAGCACAAATCACCAGAGTTCAGTTCTCTGTCTCCACCYATCGTGGCCTTTAGACTGATCCACCCACAGGTGATACGGGAAGGGGATGGGGAGTCGAGCCTCTCTTTCACGTGTCATCCATGGAATTTTTATAACTGCCGAGCCAAGGTCAGCAGCTGCAGGGATCCAAAAGATAAGCACAATTGTTTTGGGGCAAGCAGCCTTGATTTTCTCTGCTTTCAGTCTTTAATTGCATCTCTGTGATGGTGAAAAAGCCAATGTTTTGAATTCATTGCCTCCTSACCTCTCTTTCCATCTGAAACTTCACCCAGGTGTAATCCTACTCCTCATAGGCACGCTGCTGAACTGTGATTCTCRTCAGTTTGCGACTTATATCCCCCAACATCAAAGTCTGTGCGTTTCCAGTATGAGAGACTMCATCCAAGGTTCCTGACAGTTTCTCACAGGCCCGGACTGCTGTCAGGGTTGTTTTCATTTTCCGATAAGCCAAGACTCCTCCACAGCCCATCATCAGGAATCCAGTTATCATAAATCCAAATATGTACAAATCTTCCATGTCTTCAATGGAAAGCGGCTCCAAACAGATGAGGTTCCACCCCTATGAACCAGACACTCACCCAGCCGCCACCATTCCACTGGGACAGGTGTGCTCCCCACGCACCAATCTCAGTGTTAAAAAAATAGTGTTGATTGCATTCAGAGACCCATCCATCCATCCATCCATCCATCCATCCATCCATCCATTTTCTGTACACGCATCTTCCCTTTCAGGGTTGCGTGGGTCACTGGTACACATATCCAGCAGTCACAGTGCAAGGGGTGGGGTACACCCTGGACAGGTCGCAAGTCCATCGCAGGGCCGCATTCAGAGACCACTTGACCAAATCCTTATTTCCTTTTGTTTYCGGATGATAGGTAGAAGAAACTTGAAAAAGCTGCAAAGCAGGGAAGAAGGGACGGGTTCGGGAGAGAGAGCAAAAAGCGTCCGACTCCTCTGAAGGCCAAGCAGGAAAAAATAAATAAAAAATAAATTGTTTCTTTCTTCTGTCACAGCTTCCTCTGTAGAGACTTCATTTGTTGTTCTGTTCTGTCCATTTTCTTTCTCCTCTCCTAAATCCAGTAGATCAGAGCTACAACAAACAAGTAAACATGTAATTTGTTCAGTTAGAAAACWATACTTTGGGCAGACTTTGTAGAAACCCTTTTCTCTCATCTTTAACATTGTTTCGCTTTGAAGGAATAAAAATGAGCGTGTACAGATGCAAAGTTTGAGTGCTGACACTTTTACTCATCAAAGCCAATATTCTTCAAGGCTGCAATAAAAAAAGATTRCGGTTTCTTTGAACAAGTTGGTTTAGTTGCTTGTGCAGTTTATTTTCTTGTCTTTCTTTAGTTTTTAAAGCTACAATAAGTGTTTCTGTTTCTCTTTCTCGTGTTTACAGATGGTGGCGTCAGATGGTGTCCAGCAGAGTAGCCCAGTAACTGTCAACATCCTGGTTATTGATGCCAATGACAATACCCCRACGTTTGCCGAGGTCTCCTACAGTGTTCAAGTCTTTACAAACATGCAGCCAGGAGAGACGGTGCTACAGGTAATCAATCCAACGATCTCTTCTCCCACGTTCCTCCTTCTTTCAGTCTCCTGCTCCAGCGCTCCGCACTGCACCTCCGTCTTTGTCCCCCATCACACAGAATTTCTCTCTCAAATGCTCTTTCATGCTCTATAAAAATAACCACAACAATCGAGCGCATTGTGTTGACATGCAAACAGCAGGAACACCCCCCCACCCCCCATATCYGCACTCGTAACAGTCAAGTCAGAAAATGTTGTTTTATCTCTCATGTCAGTGCACAGCCTTGGGTAATTCCTTGTGGAAGGTATTTGTGATAACCATTTTTCAATTATTTCTGTTGCATAAAAAGGATTTGCCATAAAAGCAGGATTGTTTACARATTATGCTTTTTTATTATTGTTTATGGATTAGGGTTATTATTTCAATTTACTGAGTAAGCAATGACTTTAAAAGTCTTTAAATCCTCTTATTTTATTTTCTGTTGGGCTCACACGTGATGCTAACATGCCTAAACAACTCTGTAGAAATAAGTATTGTATAAAAATGTCTGCATGCAAATAGTACATGAATAGATTATGTTCAGACTGAAAATCTAAAATCCCATTTTGCTGTAAATGAGGAGRTCGATCGTCTCTATATTTCTAAGTTTGTAGAGGGAAAATATATGTTTTCTCCTTCAGCTGATTTCTTCTAACTGCAGAGCCTCTCCAAAAAAATGTCAAATACTGAAAAAGGTCAAGTTTAATCTGTTTWAAAAAAGCTGCCATTTTACCCTCCCAGAAATAAGGCCAAGGGTTACAGCGTGTCTGCTATGACCGCTTAACCGATTTTATAAGCCGTTTATGAGAGCTGGATTCCCCCTTGAGAATTCTGCAGCTCATTTGATGCTACAACTTTTACCCCAGTGTCAGTGGCATGAAAAAGGAGGTTGGGGGAACTTGGATTAAAGTTTCTAAGCCTTAAAGATATGAGGCCAACCTCACCGTGTTGGCCAATAATTACAAGCAGCAGGATGCCCCGAAATAATTGGATTAAATAAAACTGAGGTTTCTTATTCATTTTCTCATAAAACCAAAGAAAAGAAAATAAGTTATTARGCTAATGCTTTCGTTTTTATTATCWTTTGAATGAATGTCAGCCATCATTCTAAAGATTTGTTATTTATTGTTTAAAGGGAAACTCMTCATAAATCTCTGTAATCTATTTAACCGGTTCTGTAATTGTGTTAGTTGTAAAACTAGATAATATAGAAGACATTTCCTGTGTATAATTTGTTTCTTTTTTCCTTCTTGCTTTGTTTTCTCAGTTAACTGCAGTTGATGCCGATGAGGGACTAAACGGTTTGGTGACATATGAGATACTGGCTGGAGCCCAAGGAAATTTCATCATTAATAATCGTACTGGGCGCATCATTGTGGCACCGGGTGTGACATTAGTCGTGGGACGATCATATGCGCTGACTGTCAGGGCTTCCGATAACGCACCAGACAACCAGAGAAGGTAGAATAGCATGTGTGGGATTTGGGCATAGGTGGACTGAGAAGTTAATTATTTTGTGTGATCCATGTTTTAGAGTACACACCTTTTGAACAGTTGGATTTTGTTTTAACTCTGATTCAATTTGCTTTCTCAGTTTGTACTAATTCAGAGCATTCACTTGATTTGATTTGATTTATTTATTTAACAGGAAAAGATTATTAAAAATCAAGCCTGACTCAGCATAATTGCTGTTTTACAGCAGGTTCCTGTTCTGCAGCACATAAAACACTCAGAATTACATATATACTTATAGGTAGTTTGCAAAGCATCAGTCATGCTTGTGACTAGGCCTGCCACAGTAACAAATTTTGCTGGGTGATTAATTGTCTCAAAAATTATTGCGATAAGCGATAATATTGCCTGGTGACCATTTTAC